ATAGGTCTGTGATTCAACAGTTTTACACAATTCACAGTGCTCACCATAGCACATACCCTCCCCAATGCCCATCACCCAGCCACCCCATCCCTCCCACCCCACACCACTCCAGCAACCCTCAGTTTGTTTCCTGAGATTCAGAATTCCTCATACCAGTGAGATCATATGATAATTGTCTTTCTCTGTTTGACTTATTTCACTTAGCATAATACCCTCCAGTTCCATCCACGTTGTTGCAAATGACAAGATTTTGGGGGTTTTTGATGGCTGCATAATATTCCATTGTGTGTGTGTGTGTGTATATATATATATATGTGTGTGTGTGTGTGTGTGTGTGTGTGTACACACCACATCTTCTTTATCCATTCATCTGTTGATGGACATCTTGGCTCTTTCCATAGTTTGCCTATTGTGGACATTGCAAACAGGCCAAAATTCTTGAAAATTGTCTTGGAATATGTGATATGAAAACTTTATCCTCACCCCCAAAGCAAAAACACAGAAACAAATCTGCTGCTCAAATGATTTCTCAGAACATGAGATTGTGGCCAATTTAGCATTAAGACTGGCTGGGCCTGTAGGTACCATTTGTTTCTTTAAGAGGCTCTGATACCGTATGAGGGAGAAATGATGATATATTTACTCTTATATAATAATCCTCCTAAAGTAATTTCTCAAGTTCTTAGAGAAACTTTAACTTTCAAAACTCATTTTGTCAAACTGAACCATTCAGCCAGGAAAATCCCAGGTTCTCAACCTCGTAACATGTAAACCACAACAATGTGTGAAAACCTTCATCTGAAATGAAAATTTAAAACTTCTTCTTCAGGCTAATCAAATGGCAGCAAATAATTTCATAACCTGTTTTTTCAACATTCTAGATTTTGTCAGAGAAAAGTAAGTGACACTGGCTAACAGAAACCTAGACCATTTGGGGGAAATTCATCAAATGCCTGATTCAGAGTGATTGTTCTTGGTTTAGGTTTAACCACACGTGACCTCTATCAGGAGCAAACAACAAAAGGGATGCAATCAGGACAGAATGTCTAATATGTTCTAACCCTGAACCATTTATGATATTTTTCAAGTCTCCAAATTGTCTGTTTGAATTCTTTACATGTAAGCTCTAAGAATAGGCTTGCACTTTTTGTTAAAAGGTAAGTGAAACCATGCAGCTACACTATGTTAATAAAAAGAACTGCTGGAGTTTAAAAAAAATATTACAATAAGGATAATATATATAATCAAATTTCTTACTCATGTACTGCTCACATTTGACTAAGCTGAAACGGTAGGGTGGAATTAGGTCTCGGTCACAGGAGAGCTCCCCCCGTTACTTCCCAGAAGGCTGAGATGAGGAGGCTTCTCTTCCTGGCCTTGTTTTAGCAGAATGGTTTCTTTAATATTTAATTAGGCCAAGGTGTCATCTCACTTATACAATTTGATAGCATAGCTAGAACTACTTGTGCCTACCTTTCTTCTGTTTTAGGTAATTTGAAAATTCTAAAAAGAGAGAAAGGCAATTATAAAACTAAAAAGGAGTACGGTGAGATGACCAATCATTCCAGGACCAACGGGTCTCCCGGGATGCAGGACTTTTAGCACTAAAATCAAGGACAGTCCCGAGCAAGCTGGTATGGTTGTTCACCCTAGTTGGGACAGAGCTGAGAGTAAACTCTGGCTCTTCCCTTTACCAGCTGTGTGCTCTTCAACAAATTATTAAATTCATGTAACCTTTTTACCCTCATTCTCCTGGGAGGGTCAAAAAAGTGCATACACTTAGGATATTTAGCACTGTGCAATAGGAATTTTTTGGTTACATCTATTTTTATAAACATCTTTGCTTATTCAATGATGAGACTGAATAATTAGACACAAAACACAAAATGATCTCAAAAGGGCACTTGGTTTAATGAAGAATTTTAAACTACTTGTACTTGAGAGACAACTTTAATATTAGCCTTAACTTTTTCATTGAGTCTATAAATATGCTTTTAGTTCTATATTGATAGGCCATCACAAATTCAGCTGAAGTTAACACACTGATTACTAATTAGCCTGAATTTCAGCATGTCTTCATTATGATACTTTTCATGTAGCTAATAGCTTTTCTACATATAAGATGCTTCATTTTTGCATTTATTGTTTAACTAAATATAATTGTTTTCTTTTGAAATGATGTAGTAATGCTTCTTTTCTAGGAGTCTCCAGTATTACCAATCTGTCTTATGATTTTTGCCTAATTCTGGACATTCTGATACAAAGAAGCTCCAGCAACTTAACACTATGACAAAGGGGAAAATAGCTTTTACACACACATGCACATACGTGTGTGCAAGTACACACATACACAACATGTATATAAATGTCCTCCCCTCCCTACTCACCTTGGGCTTTTCTAGACCTTAAAAAATGTTCAAGTTTCCCAAAGCTCTTTGACCTCCTTTAATTACCCTGTGCTCTAGTTCCTGGTGCAATGTCTAACAGTGCACTCTTCCACTGATGCCCCTGCCCCTTACCAGTCTTTGAACAATTTCTGTGCTGAAACTGGCAGTCTTATCGCTCTCAAGCTGTTTTTAACTTAACGGGCCAGAACCTTCTTTTTTCTTCTTTTACTTCAATCCTCCTGTTTTTACTCTACTGCTTAGCTTGAGAACACTGATTTCTGCCACCATGTTACTGAAAGCACTACAATGTACTGATTCTAATAAATGTGTTCCTTTTTAAAGCCTAAAGGAATATAAATGCACATCTGCCATCCATATTGTTTCCCTTGTTAGAGTTTACTCATTCTCATTTCTGATAGGGATAAAATATTTTCATTGTTTAATTGTATATGTACTCTTTAGTAATATGTAGCATTCCCTAGTGAACAGAATATCCAACTGATTGTTGTACTTTTCGTGAACTAAGCACTCCTTTAAGCTTAGGTGGCCACAACTGTGTCAATGCATAATTGATTTGGGTTTGAGGAGACACCCAATGGGGGTATGTCTCTCAGGCAAAAGCCGCCCATTCAGGGGCTGCTGGCTGATGAAGAGCCATCATTGTCTTGGCTTACAGTGAGATAAAGGAGCCAATTAGTCTCTCCCCATATGATGTACACACAAGAAAGCAGCCTACCATCCAGTCGCTTATTTTTGTGGCCTAACTGTATTCTTTACAATTAAACCATCCACCAAATGTTATTAGTTTCCCAGTGTTGAACTTGATAATAAAACTCCAATATGTGGGTCGTTTGACACCAAGTCTTTGCCTCCTTTATAAAATAAGAGGTGCTCCAAATTCATGTGGTTTATTGATCAGCAGTACAATGGATATACATCTGCCCTCTGGCTTCTCCTGTCCATCTCAGCAAGCATCTCACACAGGACAGCACTCACCTGGTACATGTGGGCAACATTTGATCCCAGATATTTTGCTCCATAGAGTTTGCCATCAGGCCACTTGACTTGCACGACTTCTCCCTCAGCAGGAGGGCCCAGTTTTACACAGTCTCGGCTCTGTGGAAGAAATAGAGACAGGCTTTTCAAGGCAAGTGTCTAAGTGACTGCATTTGGAACTTAGCAAACGATGAACTCCTGGCAATTAAAAGGAGTTATTGTCTCTGTGTTTTATGGATTATGATCTTGCATGGGTGTTCAGGGGAAGAGATATGAGCCAAAGGAGTACTTAAAGATTCAGCCTCCATCATAAAACTGCAAAGGAGCCACTATAAGCCAAGCAGGAAAAGAAGAGCAGCATTTACATTCGCTACTTGACGAAGAATCGTTCAGAGGGTAACTAAAACATGCACAGAAACTCCTTTAGCTGAAGAAGAGACCAGCTCATGATTTACAACACCTGACATTTATACAGTATTTTGCAGTTAACCAAATGCTTTAACATACAACTCATTTGATCCTCAATAATCACTCCACGAAGTAGGCAGAGATTATTAATTATCCCCATTTTACTGACAAGGAAACTGAGCTCCAAAGGGGCTCCTTTAAGTTGTCAGAATCTCTGCAGGAGTGAAGCTGAATGGGAGAATAGTAAGAGTTGGGACACACAGGTGGAAATGGGGCCAGAGAGGAACAGAGTGAGGTCCAAGCCGGCAAAACAGCAAGGGAAAAGGAAGGCAAGAAGCACCCGCAGCATGGCAGCTGAGGCTGGGAGGGGAGTGTGCTGTTTAGCAGGCCTCCTCAGAAGATCCTTGGACCTCCCTGGAGAGGCAAGCTTCTGCCGGCCGCCTATTAAGTGACCACCCCTCTTCCTTCCACAGGCATCCATGGAGGCACCCATAGTCAGTCTTTCATTTCATGCCTTCTGCTCAACACTGCCTCCTCCTAAGAGAGTAGATCAGAGCAAAGCCTGTAGTCCATCTTGAAAGGTGCTTTGTTTTTTGGTAGGGAAGGGAGGTAACAGGTCAAATAAAATGTTTTCACAGACATAGTTTGCAAACTCTTAAATTTGTATGTATTGGGTATGACATAGAAAAATTTTAATACAAATGAATTAAATACTTGACCTCTTTGGTAAATTTTTTGAACATTTAGCAATTTGTGTTTTGCTAATATCTGTATTTTACTGATGAGGCCAATCTGACTGATCGAAATACACACTTGACCAATCAAGCTATAAATGCAGACTGGGCATGGTTCTATGGTTTAAATGAGAGGCACACACAGGAAATATTTTAGTTGTTTATGACCAGAAATCCACCATCTATTACTTTTCATTATTAATAGAAATTTTGCATTATAAAGGAGTGGCCATTTTATTGTTGGGTTTGGAGTATACATGAGAGGCTCAGCTATTCATTTTTCTCACTGCAGACTCCCTTCCATCTAAAGCTATGGGCAAAGAAAAATTTGTGTGCTCAGAGGCTCTACCAAATTGACAGTCTGCTCTTAGTTAAATAAAAAGTTTCTCCTTGGCCTCTGTAATATTTGGCCTCTGGGCATGCAGAATTGAAAGGGTAGGCTGTAGAAATGTGTTCCACATATGCCCCTGGGGTTATCATTTCACTTTGCATTTCCCTTCCAAAAATGTACCTGGTACCAAGAACACTGGAGGGTGCAGCTTCTCTATACATACTACTCAGTCTCCTAGGCTGGGAAGCTACATAGGCCCTGGGATAACTGAGCTGAAACCTGGAAGCTTTGGGAATAGGAGTAGGGAGCGGGGGAGGTGGCACAAGGGCGTGTATCTTCCCGCTCCTAAAGTTTTCTTCCACGCGGAGGAGCTCCACTGGGGTAATGTTCCTGGCTTCTTTTCCACTCTCATTCATCCACTCTTCCAAGAGAATAAGCAATGACTTAATTTTGTTGTTGAGTTCTGAAGGAGACAGCATTTTCCAAACTATGCACCACAGGGCTTTGGGCCACCCCAGCAAACACAGGGGCTCGCGGGATATTTTCAGGGGAAACACAGTGACACTCGTCAGACACCAAGTCTTAAGCTGTTTAGACCTAAGTTACTTAATAGATGGAACTGTGTAAAAAAGATGTGCCGAGATACCCAGGGGATGGGAGCCAGTAAAGTTTGGTAACTGTGGCTTTACTCCCCATGTTCCCTTTCCCTTTGGAGCCACCCTGTGGACAGAGAACTCAAGTTCTGCTCTGCCCCTTCCCCAGAGAGGAGCTGGAGGTGTCCTGCACCCCTGTCACTAGGAGGCCTAATCCTCAGGTCCAGTTTCAGGTACCCTGTTTGCCCACAGATATAATTATACCACACACTACAACATCTGCTTTATTAGTAATGAAGAAGATCTTTTCAGTCTCCAAATCCTGACTCCATGGTCTCTCTATATTGCTTTTCCTCAGGCAAGATAATTCTATTTATTGGGCCCTACAGTCCCAGCCGAAGGAATTCAAGGCCTTGGGGGAACACAGAGGATGCACTCCCTAATTTATTCACCCACCAAATACAACTGCTAAGTAGGAGACTTAGGTTCTTACTTTTAGAGATCTAATCTTTGACAGAGATTTTCTAACATTTAAAATAATTCTTCAAAACAAATCCTGACCTGAAATTTTAAGTACCATATCACCAAAGGTGTGGCAATGGCCATGGAAATGTGGCCTAAGCAAAGTATGAAGATACTTGAGCAATTTATCATAATAATATAGCTTTTTAAATAAACTAAACATAAGCAACTTTACCAAGTGAGAAACAATTCTTTTTTTAAAAAAAAGATGTTTGAAAACAAAATGTCTGAGATATGGTTTGATATCTGTCTCACTGTCTATTTGCCCTTTACTCACAAGTCTTAATTAGGCATTGAAAGTACCTGACTTCAGAGCAACTTACAGCTCAGCCTCTACCTAACTTCGCTCTGTATCAGTCACAAAAAATCACTTCATACCCTTTCATGTCAAAATCCAGGAAGGACATCTCAGTTTGCTTTCTCAATCTGGCTTTCAGAATTCTTTTTTTCTCTATTCATAGTAGAAGAATAAAGAAAAATAACCAACTATATAACAACACAAATTTGTTCTGTGACTTTCCTTTCCTCATCCTCCACTAGGAGGCATCCCTCTTCGCCTTGATGGCTACCTTCTCATTCTCTGCCAGGCCAGTTAGCTGGAAGTGGTTTTATTCTGATTTGCATATAACTTCATTTAGTATTATTCACTATTTACACCCCAGCTACTTTCCAAATGGATTTAAGGCAGCTCATAGTAATACATAAATAAATGTATTTCTGTAACATCTAGTTCCTCCACAGAGAGATGATTTCAACTCACCAGCTGTCTCAAGATTTTGAGTTTGCCAGAAACTTTCTATGACTACATGGAGTAAAAAGCATTCAAACAGGAATGGAAGTAGAAGCATGTGGGCTGAAGAAAAGAAGCTGAAAGTTTTGATATTGAGGTTTTTCTGGTCCCTCCAAAGCAGGAGTCACAATGATTGTCACAATCATTAATCCAGTATCTATTTACTGACCATCTGGGTGAGACACTGGAGGCGTGAACAATGTCTAGCTCCCCAAGTTAGGGACAAAGGGCATCTTGCCCACACTTGGAGGCCTGTCACACTGAGCCCCGTATCTGCATGGCGTGACCATCTCAGGGTCCTTGAAGGGAAATCCATGTGGAGTGTGAGCTTTGGTTGCCATGATCACTTCAACCAGAAAAGAACTTCTATTTGATTTATGGATTGAATAAGTTTTACTGATTGAACAAGCTGAATAAGATTTCACATTTAAAAAAAAAAAAAGTTTCTCTTAAAAATAAAAAGTCAGAAAAATAGAATCATGAGGGGATTTAGTTTGTGAAAAGCCCCAGTGAATGGTCTGCCCCCTCTCTTAAAGGCCTTCAGCTGGCTCACATCTCCCGGGGCTGTACACAAGGAGCATAGCTCCTTAAAGTGTGGTCCCAACCACTGAGGCACACATTGAAAATGAAGATTCCAGCCTCCCTCCCCCCATAGCTCTATGTGACCCAGGTGACTTTTTTTTAAAGCATTTTAGTATTTGAGGTGTATTAAAGGATGTAAAATGCTAAAGAGGTCTTTCCTAATGCAGTTCTTAGTGTGTTGCCGGAGCAAGTAAACCCCTTTGCTGGAAAATTAGATGCATTAAAACCTTGACTAATGCATTTTTCCCAGTTGCTGTCTAGACCCTCAGAAGCAGTTTGGCTTCCCCTGACATAAATAGCTGTTTACCATTTGCTGTACTTCCTCCAGGGATGTGTAAACTCTCCTAAAGCCTGCCAGGGCCCTGTCCACAGGGACACTGTGTCTGGAGCTGCCGGTAAGCCTGTAGCTGGAGTACCAAATAGATGATGTTAAAATTAAAGACAGAAATCATCATCACAGTCAAGAGCAGGCTTCTGGCTGTGATTAAAGGGCTCTGATGAAAGGACCGAGATGGGTCACCCACCCAGGCAAGAGCACAGTGTCCCATCACACTGGGGCCAAAGTCAGGGCTCACTCGCGCTTGCTCCACCAGCTACAGAGACAAGCCCAACCGCCAGTCTGATTATTTGAATTCTGCAGTGACTGCGGGCTTGGAACTCTTACTGGGGCCTCGGGAAGGACCTCTTCAAGCAGCTGTGCTTGAGTGTTGCCTGTTTAGCCATGTTCCCGCTGACCCATCCCCACCTCTACTCCTACCAAGACGGAGCAGGCAACCCTGTCTCTCAGTGCAGCTGCAGCACAGAAAGACGTGGTACTCAAACTCCCAGCGGTTAATTGGCATATAGTTGGGAACTTCTGACGGCCGCCCATGGGGAAAGTGCTTACTGACCGGGAGCGAACTGCTACCAGCAACTGCTGACATTTTGAGGGCTAATCACCTGCTCGTTAATGGACTCCAGCAGGAATGAACAAGGCTGACTGACGGCCATGTACTAATTGTGCTGCTACCTATCATTTGTTTGGCTGCCCGGCACCCAGACCCGCAGCTCCCCTTCGGAGTCTCAGCGGGGGGCAGACCTGGCGCCGTTACAGACCCCGGAACGTGCCAGACACTCCCTTCCCCAGCTTCCCTGGCAGCGGGACATGGATGGGGGCCTGG